TGGGGAGACCCAATGGCTAAAGCTACTTCCTTTTGGGATTGCCTCAGCACCTGAGCTGTACTAATGTGTCCTGTCCTAGATCTTCGAGGATCTGGATGGGGTGGAAGTAATTACTGGTGATGGTCTGCTGATTTGGAACAAAAACAATCCACACCTCAATGACAGACTGCAGATTGCTCAGCAGCATGCCAGAGATCAAACAGGCACAAATGCCAGGTCAGGCTGAGTGAGGGCAGGTATGTAGGACACGGACTCAGTGACAAAGACTGGACCCAAGAAAAGTGGAGTCAATTGTGCAAATGGAAAGACCCAAAATCAAGGAGCACCTATGGAGATTCGTGGCCATGTTAGTCTACCTAAGCAAATTGTCCCTCATTTGTCACAGGCAGAGTGCTCTTGGAGACTAATACAGAATGATACAGCAATGGCTGGCAAAAGAAAAATGTTGGGGAATTAAACAAAGGTTGCCATCGAAAGACCAGCACTGAAATATTCTGAGATTAACAAAAAGCCCAAGATCTCAGTTGGTGCAAATTCTCAGAGACTGATGCAAGATGATCACCCAACGGCATGTGCTTTCTAAGCACTGTCTCCACTGGCTACTGTTAGAGTTAGCTTATGATGTTCACCAATCGCTGATAGGAGCTGGAGTGAAGCATAACAGTCCTGGGAACAGCCCTTCCCCATTCCAGACTGGGATCTGGAACAACTGGCAAAGGGACTGGCCTCAGAGAATCCATCTCTAGTTTTACATTCAGCACTGGGAATGCTAGTCCAGGACTTTAGAAGTTTGGTGAAAGCTGTGGCAATTCCCTTGTAGTGCGGGAAAAACTAGTGTAAAATTCATGGTTATGTACTTCAGTACTGAGTCTCAGTTCTTTGTCCAGATGCCAAGACACAATTAAATGTGATACAGGAATGACCCATTTATAGAAGCTGTGACAAAGTAGGCTATGTCTGTATCAAAGTGCAAACTCCGTTTTGGATGGTAACCTTCATTTTGGATTAGGATATCCTTTTGTTTAGGAGCTGAACCCAGGACTCACCTTGTCCAGGGCCAGGTTAGTATGCTGCATCCCACATGCTGCCCTTCCCAGGAGTGGTGCGGAGGGCCTTGCTGAAAGACTGAATGAGAAGCCATCACAAAACAAACTAGAGTCATCAGCTCTGTCTCTCAACTATTGGCCATCCAATAGGAACACAAGCTCTCTACACAGAAGGGGAAGGGGCTGGCTTTTCTTAGCCTGGGCTCATGGGCACAAGGGGTCAGAGACCTTATTTAAGGGGGATGATCTCTGTGAGGGGGGCCTGGCCACTGCTACATGCCAGGAGACCAGGCTGGAGAGAGAGAGAAGGCAGAAGGCACTCTGCCTGGCCTGAGATGCAAGCCTCACAGAAAGGGTGAGAACAGACTTTGGAGGGGGATGTCTCAGAACTCTTATTTTGCAAAGCTCTGTAATGCTTTAGTGCTTTGCTTGCTTGCCTGCCTGCCATGTTGTCCCTGAAAGGGTTGATCAAGAAGCTCAGAGCACTCACAGCAAGGTGGAATGTTGGAAGAGTGTCTCTGAGCAATTGGGACTCAGGAGGGTGGGGCCACTGGTTCTGGGGTCTAAGATGGCTGGGCTGCAGAGTCCACTTCACAAGGTAGGGTAGCAGTGTGACGCTGTGTGGAATTTGGGGGCGGGCACTTTAGGGTATTATAAATCCCAATATTGTAAAATGGCACTGAGTCGTGCCAGATATGCCGAGTGAGGTATCTGTGAAAATGTTGTAATTTGCCAAGTATGATCGTCTTGTTTATATGTTTGTCTCATCTTTGTATTATGAGGTATAGATATGTAGGGGATATATATATTTCCAAATTTGTGCTGTGCATCTGGATGACATCCCCAGACAGATTGGCATCAACACTGCCTAACCTGCTTGATGGCCCATCAAGGGACATCAACTGTACAATGAACCCATTGAAAGGGTCAGGGATCCACCTTATGATTCAACAAGGCATGCAGGGACATGCCTATGGACAGAACTGTAATGCTTCCAGGCCATGTGCTGGGCAGCTGGCATTTGGAACAAAGGAAATACAAGCTGCATGGCAAAAGACTATAAAAGGCAGCTGCAGCTTCTCCATTTTGTCTTCATTCCTGCTTCTTACCTCTGGAATAACCTTCCTACAAACGAAGCTCTGAACAAAGGACTGAATGACCCATCCAAGCTGTGGATGCATTCCAGAGGGACTTTCAAGCCAGCAAACTCACCAATACTGCTAAGCATAGGCACCGACTTCCCCTCTTTCCCCTGGATGCTCGACCCCACCTCTGTCCCCGGCCCCGCCCCCACTCCACCCCTTCCATGAGGCCCCTCCCCAACCAGTCTCTTCCCACCCCTTCCCCGCCCCCATTCCAGCCCCTTCCCCAAAGTCCCCACCCCAACTCCGCCCCCTCCTTGCCCCTATTTGAACCCCTTCCCCAAATCCCTGCCCCAGCCCCTCCTCTTCCCCGCCTCCCGCCCCGAGCACGCGGCTCCTCGCTCCTCTCCCTCCCTCCTGGAGCATGCAAACAGCTGTTTGGCGGTGGCCAGGCGGGAAACACTGGGAGGTAGGCGGAGGAGCAGGCACTCGGGGTGGGGGAGGAAAAGGAGGGGGAGAGGGGAGCTTGGCTGCCAGTGGGTGCAGAGCACCCACTAATTTTCCCCATGGAAGCTCCAGCCCCAGAGCACCTACGGAGTCAGTACCTATGCTGCTAAGAACCTGATATATGGACTTTGAAGTTTTTGTATGTATGTGACTGTTTTATCTCTTCTTGTTCTTTCTTTTTTCTTTATAATAAACTTTTAGTTTTAGATGCTTAAGGATTGGCTGGCAGCATGGTATTTTGTGTAAGATCCAAACTCATATTGACCTGGTAACGTGACTGACCCTTTGGGGTCAGAAGAACATTTTGTATATGTGAGCCAAGTTTAAAATAACTGCTCACTGTACTGGACCTAGGTGCTGACTGGGAGCCAGAGAACTGGAATGAACTAAAAGGGGGCTGTGTGGTTTCCTTTTATGCTTCTTGATAACCAGTGTGGGGGATCAGGAGCACAGTTTGTGACTGTTTGGGGAGCTTAACTTCAGTGTTACCCACCAGTCTTGGGAGTATCTCTCTCCCTTTTACAGCCTGCCCTGACCTTGGCATTTCCAGGGAAGGCTGCCCTAGGCACACAGGGTCACAAATGGATACCTGGGAGGAAGTCTGAGAAAGCCAGAGCTAGAACCAATGACCAGGCTCTGCCCAGACCTGACTGACTTAGGAGCATGTGGGATCCAGTGGTTGAGTCCACTCACAACAGACTGGTGTCTGTCCAGAGGCGGGGACAGGGACAGGCTGTGACAGAAGCATCTGCAGTGGAATATGCGAGAAATACAGAGTAAAAGCAGCGAATCTGTGTTCAGAAGGAAAGTGGAGGCGAATGATCATACAGATTGGAGGCAGAAAAAATCTATCTAGACACCCCTTGCCTGGTCTTTCCTTGCAGAACAGGCTTGTTTTTTATGCTAATTTTCATGCAAATAGCACCGTGGGGATCTGATCCTGGAACTTGCTGTCCATGGCTGTTCTGGTTTCTGAGTGTATATGTTGCTCTGGGAGCTTCCATGCACCATGGAATTTCTGGGATGTCTTCACACATGAATGTTAAACAAATTACGCTTATGTAATGTTCTTTAATGTCATTATTCAGAAAGGGATGATTAAAAATGGATAGAATAGCCAAGAAAGGTCACATCTGGCTCATCCACATCCCTGCTGATGCCGGATCTTTCCCTACAGTCTCTTCTCCAGGGCTTTCTCCACTTCAGTTTGAAATGACTCAAGCGCTGGGGTTTCCATCGCTTCCCTTAGCAAACAATTCCACATTCTGGTAGTTCTGTCCCTTGGGAAACCTCCCCTGTTATTCAGCCTGAGTTTTCCTCCTCTGTTTCATCCCATTACTCGTAGTGATACATCTTTGGTGCACTCGGAACAATTCCTCTCCCTCACTGCTTTTACACCCTTCAGGTATTGTATCCCCAAGCCCTTAACCTTTGCCAAGCCTCGTGTCTTTCTTTATTTTAATCTAGTCATGCAAATGGGTCTCTCCAGCTTCTGGGTGTGCAGGAAGGGGAAGAGGGCAGTGTGATGAACACAAAGGTTTCACTCTTTAATTCCCCTGCCCCCCACCCCACCCCTTTAACATTAGCAACAACTGACCATTTACTAGGTGGCAAGGGCCTCCCTTGTAACATTGACAAAGTGCCCCACAGTGGTCGTGCTTTTCAAGAGGAAGTGGATCATGCTACAAGGCTGAGCGTGCTGGGAGGGCGTGGCTACGTGGGGCTTGGCCTTTCCTTCTATCCTTGGCTAGCACAGAGTTCAGATCTCACCTTGGTTGGCAGGTGAGTTTGGTGGTTGGCCACCATGACGTTTGGTTTGTTGGGCCATCGCTGCACAGGGCTGGAAAGCGGCTGTGTGAGAGGCACTGGGAGACCCATGTAGTGGCCCGGCACTGGAATAGCTGTGGGTTCTACAGGCCGGAGTGGAGGTGCATTGGCAGTGCTGTATTGAGCCCTAGGCTGGAATAACCAGGGTTTCTGTGGGGAGGTCTACACTACAGAATTACTTCAATATAACTATGTCCCTCGGGGATGTGACTCATCCACCCCCTGGGCGACGTAGTTACACCGACCTAAGTGCTGATGCAGACAGTGCTATCATGGCAGGAGAGCTTCTCCCGCCAACACCGCTCCTGCCTCTCAGGGAGGAGGATTCACTACGCTGCGGGGAGAGCATCTTCACTAAAGCGCTGCAGCAGTGCCGCATATGAAGCATAGGCCTGCCCTGTGGGTCTAAACTGAGGTGCATTGGCCGAGTGGTCTTATGTCTGCACCAAGTGTCTGTATCGCACGCCCGTGAGGCGGAGAGTGTGGAGACTCCCCTCACGTGACGCTGGTTTGCTACTTTCCTTTCTGCCTTCTCCAGAACACTCACAGACTTGCTGAAGCAGCCGGGCCATGGCCCCTCTGACCACATGACTGACAGCCACTTGGGCAGCATCCAGGTCCAGATGGGTGACGGGCTTGCCCGGAGCTCCCCCAGAAATGGCACAGGTAAGAGCATCACCTCCCGCCCTCCCCACGGTCCCATCTGTGCTGGGCAGGGACTGGTTTGTGGGCAGCAGAGGGCCTCCCGGTCTCCTTCCATTTCTGTGAATGGGGCTCGAGGGGGGCAGGAGGGAAGCTGGGGGGGTGGAGCAAACCAAGCAGGGCAGTTTGCACAGAGGCAGTAGAAGAACATGCATGGGAGGAAGTCTGTTCCCTTGTTTCTGTTGTTTTCTATTTAAAGTAGAGCTTTAAAGGCAGCCCTCCCGCAGTGGACTTCAGGGTGAGAGAGCGGCCCCCCACCAAAATGCTGGTCATGGGGAGGATTGCAGGCATTGAGCTCCTCTCCTAATGTCAACCCAGCGTAAGGGGGCGCTGGTCATGGGGAGTTCTGGGGGCACCATGCTGGCATCAGGGGTTCCCAGGGAGGAGGGGATACAGCCCCTGGAAATTCTTTCACCAGAACCCTACTCTCAAACGAGGAATTCCTTCCTCTTCAAGGGGCCTCTTTCTTCCCACTTGGGGCCCCGTCACTGCTCTTTGTCGACACTCCCCTGGGAAGCTGGGAGTGCCTCTCTCCACCCTCCCAGTATTTGCTGCTCTCATGGATGTTGCAGAGGCTGTGGGTGAGAGATATGTTGAGGCTCAGGAAGTTTGGGCTCCCTCTTGGTTCTGCTCCTGGTTCTGGGACAGTCATCACCAAGAACAGCTGGCACAGGTGAAACACAACACTGATTTGGATGCGTGGCGGCTGTGTCTGCTCCTGCTGTAGGGGGGCAGCTTTCGAGGCTTGCATAAGTTGCATTTGTGCCTTCTGCCCCTTCTCCAGTGCGCTCCCTGCTGCCTACCCATTCAGCCTCTGGGAGGAGGCTCCCCCTCCAGGCTGACAGTCCCCTGCTTGCTTCTCTGAAAGATTGGAAGTGACATTTGCCCTGGCAGCAGCCAGTGTGTGTTTGCAGCTCACAGGTCAAAGCGCAGTGCAGTCATCCGGCTAGGACAAGCTGCAGGAGCCCCCAAGGCTGGCGGGTTACTAGCTGCACCCGGACTAGCAGGTGGGAGCATGGAGGAGGGAGGAAAACTGTCCTAGCCGTGAGGTGTGTTAGGTGGTGGAGCAGTCCCGTGGTGGGGCAGTGCTGGGGAAAGTCCCATCGCTTGGGTTCTTTAAAGCTAGGCTGAGCAAAGCACGCCAGAATACGCTTCAGGGCAGCGTCCGGCACTGGCCGGAGTGCACCTGGGGTGGGTGGGATCCATGCTGTATATCATCCTTCTAGAGCACAGGTGGCTGGGATTTCCCCCTCAAAGCTGGAGCTAGTCCCAGTGCTGGTGAATGGTAACCGGTGAGGTCATCCAGCATGTGGCCGGGGGATGTCCCCGCAGGGGATCTGCTTTCGAGGTGGGGGGGGGGAAATGTTTCTCCTCTGCTGAAGGATGGGCTGATCGCTATCCCATGCTGTCCCCTTGGGCCTCCCCTGGGTGGTGACAATGGGAAGATTGGTGGAGCCAGGAGTCACTGGTACCACTATGGTCCCCAGCTGTGTAACACGGGGAAATCAGCTGCTAATCCAGTGGCCTCTTAGTTTAGTTCAACTCTGCTCGGGGAAGATGGGGAAGGCTCTGTTTTCTCTTTCATTTGCCAGTGATGCTTGTCCCAGGTTAAAGGGGGCAAGGGGAATTTGCATTGAAATGCTTTGATCTGAAGTTACCGCTGGTGAATGTCACCCGACTGAGAGCCCTGGAGCCTGAAGTCTGAACAGGTACACGGGCAGCCACTCTCCTAGCTTTGCACCCACATGGCCCACACCAAGCCTGGCACCAAGGGACTGCTGCTAGGAGTGACAGGAGGTCAGGTCCTTTGGCCCATTCAGCGTTGGTCTCTCTGCAGAGGAGGCCAGTTAGTGCTGACGGGAATGGCGGTGTTAGGGCTGTGGGTGTCCCATTGGAATGGGAATGCGCCCTTCATGCCAGTCACCAAACAGCTGTTGGTCACAAAGGGCTTTTGGCCTCGTCTGATCTGGGGACAGACTATCACCAGAGCCACAGCCATAGAAGGTTCCCTGATCAGTCCTCCAAGGTGTCCAGTCCCACTAGGCAGGTGGTGATGTTTGCTCTCAGCAAAGATGTCTGACTGCTCAGGGCAAAGCCAGGGGAGACTGTGGGGACGCATGGGGGAAGGGAGTATCCAAACCTGAGGCCAGGGTGGGGGAAGGGTGAGCTTGTTAACATTAAAATGCATTTTTATGCAGCTAAATACAAATATATATAACTAGGACCAAGGAAGGCAGGCCAGACACTCTAGCCTGGAAATCAGTGACTCGGAAAAAAAGCGAGGAGCCCTAGGGGACCAGCAACTCCACCTGAGCTCCCAGTGCGGTGCCGTGGCAAAAAGGGCTGTTAACTCTCCTTGGGTGTATAAACGGGAGGGTGGGGGGTGATTTTACCTCTGTGTATGTCCCTGGTGAGACTGACCCTGGCATACGCATCCAGTTCTGGGGTCGGCAGTTTTAAAAGAATGTTTAAAAATTGGAGAAGGTGCAGAAAAGAGCAACAAACAAGAATTGGCAGGTGGGAGGAGATGCCTTGCAGGGAGCCACTTAACACGCGCCATCTGCGTAGCCTCTCAAAAAGAAGATGGAGAGGTAACTTGATTAATGCACAAGCACCTTCATGGAGAGAACACACGGGCTCTTTAATGTGGTGGCAAGAGGTGTAACAAGAACCAATGGCTGGACGCTGAAGCCAGATTAAAATTAAGGCACAGATTTTTATCAGTGCGGGGGGTGAAACCATTGGGACAAACTACCAAGGGAAGTGGTCGATTTTCAGGCTCTTGCTGCCGTCAGATCAAGGCTGGAGGCCTCTCTGGAAGATGTGCTGTAGCCACACACAAATTCCTGGGCTCAGTACTGGGGTAAGCAGCCGAAATGGAATGACCTGTGGTGGACAGGGGGACAGGCTAGATGAGCTAATGGTTCTTTCTGGCCTTAAATTCTGACTCTCTGACCCCTTAAACCTTCCCTCCCAGAATCTTTCTTTGCATTTCCAGACAATATGCACTTGAATAACGCTGTGGTCAGCCCCCCTATCGCCCCCCAGATGGGGCTGCCACATGCCCACAGCAACCGGCTGCAGATGACGAGCACCATGCCCCACCAAGCTCCGGACTACGCCAAGTACGCCACGCTCAAGGCCGTAGGTATGTGCTACCGCAGCCCAGGGACCGGACAGGGCTGCGTCACCAGCCTGTGCTTCCTCTGGCTTTGCTTCAGCTCTTCTCTCCCCGCATCCCGTGGTAGCAGTGACTGTGATTTCCCCAAGGCCAGAGGGAAGGAAACGGGACACCCTTGGTGCTGTCAGGGAGAGCAGTGCGGCCCCCAGCTCTAGCGGTTCCGCAGGCCTGGAGAGAGAGGCAGGGGCTGCAAGTGTCATGTGTGCTGAGTTCGAGCAAAGTTTAGCTCAGGGGTGGGGGTTCAGCACAGGCATCAGTGAAGGAAAGGGGCCTGGGACAAGGCTGCGCAAGGGAAGCTGCTGCATTCATGGAGCGGGGGCCAGAGAGTGAGATGGCCAAGGTTCTGTCCCTCGCAGCAGAACTGAAGCCCAGGTCCGGGGGAGGCGGGGACAGGCATGGAGGAGAGCCATCCTGGCAGGCAGAGAGGCGAAAGGCTCTTGTGCAGCCCAGGAAGGCGGGTGTGTTCCCTGGCTGTCTGACTTCCTGCCCTTTGCTTTGTTTTCCCCTGCAGAGAGTGCGCCCGAAGAATTCTACAAGCGGTTTCCCATGGTGGACATGCCTCCGCCTGGTCCTCTGTCCTTCCCACCCATGGGGCTGCATCAGAAAGACATGCCTTCCCTGCACGACAGCTGTGCCTTGGTTGGCTTGGCTACACCTGGGCAGAAGGCCAAAGTGGTGAAAACCAACGCCCACCCACTGGTGGCCAGTCCGGCCTTCAAGGGAGGCTGGGACCCCAGCCATCACCACCCCCCTGATGTCCGCCGACAGATCTATGCCAACAAGCGCCAGTTCAGCGTCGAGAAGCTGCCGGAGGTCTTCAGCCAGACGCCCACCCACTATGTCCAGCCCCCGCGGCCCTTCTCCACTAATAGCAAGACTGAGGTCACTGTCTAAAAAGAACCTTCATCTTTTTGTTTTATGTCCCAGCAGCCTCTGGGGCTAACGGTCTTGTCAGCCCAGACCACCTGCTAGCGAAGTACCAGAGGTGCTTCCCCATTATAGCTGGTGGCACTAGGCTGGGTGTCAGGAGGGGCGAGGAAGGTGGGGGAATCCCCACCAGAACAGGTGCCCACACCTCCTGAGAGTACGCGGATAACGTGCATGGTGAAACAGGCATGCATGTGCCCTGTGATTGATGCACGGCTGTTGTTTCCAGTTCACCTGTCCATCACATCACACTTGTACCAGAACGGTCAATGTTGACGGGAGCCGGGGGACTCCACTGCTCTGGCCAGGGGAGTCACGTCCAAGCCCAGCTGGCAAGGGGGAAGGCACCACCCCCCACCCCCTCGAGGGGAAGGACAACTGGTGGGAGATGTGAGACAAGCAATTGCAATAGCCATTAAAGCCCATTGGGTTAGCACGTGCAGCCCGTCCCCTCCCTCTGCCCCTCCATGTGGGTTGTAAACAAGGGCACACAATCACCAGTATAAACGAACTGTACAAAAGGGCAGCTGGTAAGGGCTCACAAGGAGTTTTACTTTTCCCTTCTCTGCCAGCTCAGCTCGCTCCCCTTCACACGCTAGGCACCAGTGCCGAGTAGGGTTGGGGATTTGTCTTACACCGTTTTTGAATGTTTCGAATGATGGCCTAGCTGACCCTGCAGTTCTTGTTGCATTTAGCGCCCGCGGGCCAGGGCTGTGGGTCAGTAGGTGAACACAGGGCTGCCCCTTGCTGGCTGCAGAGTAGCAAAACATAGGTCCTACGTAAACAGTGACTGCTGGCTGAGGTTGGGGGCTGGTCATTATTTTTAGTTTCTGTGGGACATTTCTGCCAGCCGGGGCAAGGCTGAGCGCTGGCTTTGGCAGCTCAGGTGGGGGCTGATGGGGGCATGGTGGTTTAAAGGGGATGCAAAGCTGTCTCAGTGGGTAGGCTCTATGGCCTGGCTTCACCATGGAGCCTTTCTGGCTGCAGCTACTGCCCAGCAGCCGGCCCTGACGGTCGCCCCTGCCAGGTTACCGCCCAGCAGGGCGTGTGGGGCTTGGGGTGGCTCCAGAGCAGGGCCTGAGCGCTCCCAGCGCGCTGGGTGTGTTGGCCATACGTGTCGTGCGCGTCACTGCTTCCCCCTCAACCTTGTGTTGTTCTCTCACACACACCCCTGCCCCAGGCCCAGCCACGTTCCCCTCTCCACTCGTACAGGTTCCAGAGCAGGCAGCAGTGCCAAGCTGGCCGCTGGGCTTGCTGCTAGTGCTGGGCCTGCAGGGCGTCAGTCACTCCCCTACCACCGGTTATTGCACGCACCGGCTACCTATGGCACAGCCTCGCCCAGCAGCTGCGGCCCCACGGAACTGTAGCCACAGGGTCTCAGGCTGGGTCAGCCTGCGTCTCCCTGACCATGTTCAGCCACTCACCGTGGTCCACCATGGAGGTGGTCAAGCTCCTTTGTGCCCAAGCTGTTTCGACCCCCCGGCATGAGTTTGAAAAGCCACTGCTACTGTCAGCCTGGGGAAACGGCTCTCTTCCCTTCGTAGGGGCCGGGCTTTGCTAGTCACGTGCGTGTTTCACTCAGTTGCGGCCCTTGTCAATTTTTTGTTTCCTTAATTCTGCTTCAAAAGGGCTTTGTACCGCTGGCGCATGTGTCTGTGGGTGGCTAATGGCTGCCAGGCGGAGTGCTAGCCCTGTAAGGGTGCCACGCCCCTGAGCAGTCCCTCTCTAGAGCTGTATTTCTACTGCGAGGGCAAGAAGCACATGCTTAGCCACTGGAAGGGCCAAGCCACAGATACAGCTTGCAGGGTTGGTACAGGTGATGCTGCTGAGGTCAGATTTGAACTGGGGACCTTCAGTCCCAGAATAATAAGCCATTAATGCTTGAGCTAGAGGACAGCTCCTCTAATGAGCAGCAACAGCTGCATAAACCTCTTAGCTGGACCAGCTACTAAAGGTAAACATGCCACACTGCGTTACCTTTTAATCCCCATCACTCCCCCACCCCCCCATTCATCTGTCCGCAGGGCAACAGTGAGCAGCAGAGAGACGCGCGGGGAGAAAAGTGGAACAAAAATGCTCCTTTAGGCCCGGCTTGCTTTCCCCCCCCTGCTGATTTGAAGTTCACACACAAACTTTAGGGCTCTGCAGGAGCTGACAAACAGCTGCCAGTTTTCCTTCCTACTGCGCTCTGGTTGCTGCATGGTGGCAAAGGCGTCGGTGGGGAGGACTCAGTGCATGCCCTTTGCATAATGCACTGAACAGCAGGCGTGGACCTCTGCTCAATAGTGAGGGCAGGTTAGCACCATGGGATGCCTCCTCTGGCACAAGCCCATGCGGCGTGTCCGTCTTGTCCGCTCCTGGCTGAGGTGTGCACGCCCAGTGACAGCCAGTGCAGACCACCACCAAGGGCTCCCTACCCACTTCATGCTGAGGCCAGGCAGGGTGCCTACCTTCCTCCCCTTGTTGAACTAGGGCTTCCATCTGGTTTCTGATGCCTGGATATTAAGTGACTTTAGGCCTTGTACCAGCCCAAGCCCTGCAGTGGGAGAGGCTGGGCTTAGCCCTGCAGGGCAGGCTACCACCCCCCCCCCCCCGCCAGCCCAAACGGGCCTTTTTTGTAAACCAAGGGGCTTTGACTCATCAAGGCCCATTTGGCTCTTGGCCTCTGCTGAGGCTGCGAACAAGGAGGCCAATCAGTGCCAATTGCCAGGTGTGTGAGACAGAGAGCGCTGGCCACCTGGCCCCTCCGGCGGATGCTGGAATAAAGCCATTAACGTGTTTCACATGGGCCACCAAGCAGCAATCAGCTGGCAAAGCCTCCCAGTGGGGGATGGGGGTTGGACTGGTGACCCAAAGGGGAAAGGTTCCTCTCCCTCCATTCACGTCATTCCAGCCCCTGGTCCTTTGAGCCGCTGCACCTCTTAGCAATAAATATCACCCCCACCCCCACCCCCAGGAGCCTGAGTGGTGCAACTGGCTGTGACGCCGGGAACGTGAGCGGGCTGGGCACTAAAGCCTGGCCCATGGACAGACAAAGCAGAACCAGGGCTCAACCCTTGTGTCCTGCCGGCCTTGGGTCATTTTTATTTGTAAGTCCCCCCCGTCTCCTACAGAAATAAAAGTGCCCCTGTTGCCAGACTGAGTGTGTGTCCAGTGGCTGTTGTGCATGTGCAGACCCGGGCTCCCAGCTTGCCGGGGGGGTGTTCGCAGCATTTCAGAGGGTCCCTCTTTCAGAAATACACATCCAGCAGCCCCTTTGCTTCTGGCAGCTTTAGGCCCAAGGGTGTGGCCTTAGGCCCAGGAAGAGCTGCACTGGCATTGAAGCCTCGTGGTCTTTAGTAAGGGGCAGAGCAGGACTTCTCTGCCCCACAAGGGTTTGTGCCACAGGGCCACACGGCCTCCCCTCGCCCCTACTGGCTCTGGGGGGAAGCACATAAATTACAGCAGCCGTTCAGCCCAGCTGCGCTTCATTCAGTGCCCCTCAGCACGAGGCACCAGCCCCGTCCCAGCTACACATGAGCAGCCTGGGGCTGAGGCGTATTGGAGCTGAGGCAGTGCGTGGGGTTGGGACACTTCCCAGGTGCCTACTGCTGTGGGCCCCTCCCCGTGACTAAGGGTAGAGCTGTCCCTGTTAAGAGCCTGTGGCCCCCCCCCCCCGGGTCCCTCCCCATTCTGTACAGGGGGGGTGATGCATGCCCAGCCTATTAGGAAGGTCACAGCACGGGTCAAGGCGGAAACTTGCCCTCTGGTCTCTCCTGGGACTGCCACAGGGCAAGGGAGGTGTAGGCCTTTCCCAACAGCAGAAAGGTTGAAGAAGAAAGGGCTCATTTGGCCTTGATCTCAGTCCTGGGAAGGAAGAAGGCAAGTGGGCCAGCAAGCCCCCATCCCCAAGAGCCGCGGCAATCAACGCCTGACTTCCCCAGCGCCGGCTGCTTTACACGCCCCAAAACTCTGCTCCCCCCGTGCAGCGCATGCTTGGCTGAGAGAGCTCCCACCCACTTGGGGCACCCAGGATTAATCATGTCCCCCAGGGGGTGGGTCTGTTCTTTCTCTGCTGGTGACAAATGGAGCAACACCCGCAGGGAAAGCATTCTGAATTTTAAACACATTCCTGCCAGCACCAACAGGCCTTGAACAGATGCCTTCAAAGTCCCCACCCCCACACCAGAGCCAGCCACGGCCCCATCGTCCCTCTTCGGAAGGAGCTCTGGCCATGGGCAGGAGCCAACGCTTGGTCAAGCTGCAGAGCTTTAAGCTCCAGACATAGAGAATGGCAAACACAGGTTTGCTGCTAATGGAAAAAGACGGATCAGTGCAGAGTTTGTATGTCCTGGTCTAGCCTTGGTGGTCAACATGGGTGCAACTACACCGATCACATAGCCCCACTTCACCCACTCGCGGAACTAGTCCGCCACGGCCCTGGGCCATGCCTGGCCCCTGGAGACTGTCAATCTGAGCAAGGGCTTTCCAGCTGATCATCTGGGGTCAGGTTCCACCTACGAGGACCGGGGAGCAAGCAGGGGTCAGCTGGCTGCAAATAGTGTGATCAGCTACTCCGGTGCTGTATAAAACCCCGGGCGCTTTTCCTTGTCCATCTTCCGCTCCCAGTGGGGACGGCTGGCGGGAGCAGAGCGAGGTGGAGCGAGAGCAGCAACAGATTGGCTGGACTCAGGAGCCATCCGTAGCTCTGTGGTAGGATGCAGCCTCTGCTCGGGGCCCTATGTAAAGCTACATGGGAACAGCAACACGTGGGTCAGGTAGGAATGTTTATGTCAGGCCCAGCTCGCCCCCTCAGCCAGCACCAGCTTGGGGCCCAACCCCTTGGCCATAATACCAGCTCCCACCCTGCCCCATTGCTGGCCCAGCACCTGCTCGTGCCCTGCCCTGCCACCATGCGGGCCCCTTATCTGGGCCCCTTTAGATCACAGGCATTTAAGTCCCAGCTCTTGCCTCTGCCAGGGCCAGCCTGAGCCCAACAGTGCTCCACCCTCAGCTTGCAGTCCAAGCCTGGGTTAGGCCAGTGTCACCCCAGCCTGGTCCCATTATAGCTGGGGTACCTCACTCCTCACCCTCAGGTATCACCTACCCCCGCCTTTATTAACACACTGGTTCTCCGGGGAGGAGACAGCTGTGGTGATGCAAAGGGCCCCTGTGGCTTCCTCATAAACCACTGCGCCAGAAAGGGGGGGGGCACCTGGGAGCTCTTCACCCACCCGGGCTGAGCCCTTCGCTGTGCTCTGCCCGGGACAGTCAGGCCCACGCCACGGAGGAGGAAATTGTAGCAGGCAAGAAGCGACGTGCTACGGTCACGCCGTGAATCACTCCTAGGCCAGGAATCGAACCCCTGCTCCTCCCACGAGGCTGGGGAGCCTTTGATGGAGAAAAAGGCGGGGGGGGGGGGGATTCTTCAACCCCCCCACCCCCAAGGTTTGTGAAAGGCGGCAGTATTGCACTATGCCATACAAAGCATGTCCCAGGAGCAAGGAGACATGGGGAAGGCACGTCATGCTCTAATCAGCCATTTCTCCCTCCTGCCCCATCCCCCTCCTATCTGTCCCCTGCCAATTAGTGGTGGCAGAAATCAAAGGCTGGCATTGGCACCGAGCCAGCACAGTCTTCAGGCCTCCCAGGAGTGGCTCAGTGCCCCTTACCCACACGTACCAGCTGCCAGGCAGCTGCTGCCGGCCCCGAGGGTGACAGCAGGACCCTGTCCCTATCATCTCTATCAGGGCAGCTGCACCTTGCTGGTGGTTTCCTGCACAGCTGGGACTACAATGAATCACCCCCCACCCACCCCCCGCCAAAAAAAATCCCAGCAAGAGAACCGAAGTCAGAGCGCTGCAAGGGCCCAGAGCAGCCTGTCCTCATTCTACCATCTTACGCCAGGGAAGCCCCCAGGAGTAGTAATCTTTAATAGCAGAACAGGTGCAGACCCTACGCATCAAGAGCGACACTCCGCCAACCTGCTTTCGCTTCCTGAGCGGGCGGGAGGGGAGGCTCTGGGTGGAATCCCACACAAAGGCCCCCGGCACTTTTAATGAGAACGGCTTACAGTTCAAAGGTGCTTTTCGTCCCACCGTGCAGAGTAGGCTGGTGTCCCGAGACGCAGCCACCTCTGGGGGAAGCAGGCTGCGGCCCTGCCCCGTGCTTGGACGCTGCACAGAGGTTTGGAGCAGGGCGTGAGGGCTCCAAGAGAGGCTAGCTAAGGGGCTTTAGGCAGACAATGGAATGCCCAGAGCGGGATGCCGGTGGCCCGTTCTGCAGGGCTAACACGCCAGCCTGGTGAAAGTGCCACAAAATCTTTAATGGCAAGCCAAGGTCAGAGGCTGGGTCCCCTGACACAGCACCGCTGGTAGCAGTGCCCCTGAATGAGCAAGCTGCCTCAGTGTACCTGGCTATGGATTGCCACCACCTCTTAGGAAGCACTTGGGTTGCAGCACAGCTCTCCCAGCCAAGATCTAACCAGGCACCACCCTGCTTAACTTGACAGTCCACAATCAGAGCCCAGAGGGTAGGCCCTGGGCAGTCACTACTGTTAGAATAAACAGCTTCACACAGAAAGCTGGTGACTGGGGCTCTCCTACCCTAATGACGAGCCCAACATCAAACTCAACCTGCACAGCTGAAGAGTTATTCTGCACCCAACAACAGAAGCCCCAGCTACAGCAGCCTCTTTGGAGACCACCTCCACTCTGTCCCAGGCCTTTGCTAGTGTCCTGATCATTACTGCTACGAAAGCCCAAGGGAGACCAGACTTCCGGGCTGGGGCAGTTCCAACCCCAGCTGCGTGGATCATCACTGATCCATTGCAAATAAGTTGGCCACTGCTGCAGGGCATTCAGACATGCCTGTTACAACATACAGTGCTGCAGTAATCAGAAACAGTGAGATGGGCAGGGGCAAAAGCTCAGATTCTCTCAACTCATCAGCACACCGCTACCCAGGCAAAACTGCATTCTTATGTCCCTCAAAACCATCCCCAGAAAAACACATCAGATGTGGCACAAGCTCTTCCTTTCATGGTAGGAGCATTGGAAGTCTTTAGTGGACCTGGGTAGGAAGCTTTTCCCATTCCATCAAAAGCTGGGATTTTTTTTTGGGGGGGGGGGGGGGGGACGACTTTCCCACACTGAACCAGGACTAAAAAGTCAAGAGCTCAAACATTTTCCTGAACCAAAAAATAAAAATTGGTTTGGGTCAAAGTGTTTCGGTTTGATCTAATCACTTTTGTTTAGTGGTACTATAATTAGCTTAAATAGATACACAAAGAGGGGCGTGCATAGGGGGTGTGCCCACGCCCACCCTAATGTCGCCAAAAAAAAAAAGTGGCTTTGCGCTTTAATTTAATCGCAGGATACGCTCTTTTAGTTTTAAAGTATGGATTGTTGGCTTATGCAATAAGCGCTGAATTGCGTAATATGGATGTTGTGGAAATGTATAGAAAGCCCGCGTTCGCTCGCAGCATGCGTCCCCACTACTGCGGCGCCACATTACTGTTGGTCCTCCCTTCCCCGCCGACTACTATTCTAGAAAATTCTTTGACCTATATAAGCGGCCGGGTCAGGCATGCCCAGCGCAGGGTCTACAGTGTTTGTAATCTTTGTCGCGTGTACTCTACTCAAATAGCATAACAAGCCCGTGGCTTTATGTTTTAATTCAAGCGTATGATACCCCCTTTTAATTTTAAAATATGGATCGGTTCGTTGTTAAGATAAGAAAAGGAGCAGACAAACTGAATTATAATGAATGTGCTGATGGTAGTGCAAATACCTCGGACTCCTCGGTTAAGAACTTACATGAAGATAATGCCGCCACCAGTTCCAATGTGTGCAATAAACTGAGTAATGACCAACAGAAACAGACTTTGTCTCTTAGTTCAGGTCAGTGTAGTTCCTATTCAAAGCCATCAAATGTTCCATCTGATGACCTGGTCTGTGATATTCCAAAAAATAGATTAGAACGCCAGTCTCGATTATCTAGAGGTCCTTATCAGCCTAGATTGAGTATGTTTCCTAGAAGTAAAATAGGGAACAAACAAAAGTTTTCAGTCCGATTGGCATGAAGAGTATAGGTGCTTAGAATATAGCCCATCAAAGGACGCAGTATTTTGCTTTTACGGCTGTTTCGTCTCCTTTAAT